AAGAATTCGGTCCCGGAGTGTCTTGATGAAGTTCTCCATACGCGCCACCCTCGAAAGCGGGAAACGTGCAAGCGATCTCATAGTTATAATCCCGTCTCAATATTTTACGGAATTTAACTTGATACCAACCAGTCCATTCAGAGGTTTCTAATTGCTGAACAAGAGGATTTGAAGTGCCACTGGATTCAGGAGTAGTCATTATCGGAGGACAGTGCAACACGAACCAAGATACCAAATAAATGTATGGCATCGGCACTCGAGGAGTGGGGGTTTGAATGATAGTCTTCCCGTCAGAATCCACTTCCCTGACAGCAATAAACTCAGAAGATAGTTCCCGCAAGCCACTTTGTAAGCAGCACACCATTGCTGAAAGAAGGTTCAAGGGTCGTCCATAAGCCAAAAGAACGGCGGGATACAAGACTTCTACTGTAATAGCATCCACAGGTCTTGTGGGTACCACGTAACACTTCAACCAAAGGGTCAGAAAACCAGCGAACAAAGCCATGTCAGAAATCGGGACTTCTGCCTGATAGTGGAAGCTTTCGAACGTGGTAAACGCTGGGAAGACATCCTCCTCTACCTCGCAAGTATAATGAGAGGTTGTATCGTTGATGCGTTCAGTTGGCCGTTAAGCGAGTCACCTCAGCTTCTTTGTCCCACAGATTGTGGAAAAGATATTCCGCCCATTGTCCTTGTTTCACGCCGCTTGCTCTTTTCCCAGTAATTTGCGCACATATCTGGAAATGGCACATCAATTCCCAGTAAGTGTCGTAGATTTCGGGAGCACCATTTTTCAGGATCTCTAATTCCCTGCTTCCGGGAACAAACTCCTCATAAGGCAATTCCCCAAAAGACAGTCCAGAAATCTCAAACATTTCGTGGAGAGCGAAGCCCAGCTCACCAACTGGAGTGAAAAAGGTGCCGGTGTGAGGGTTGTAGAATTCCAGCATAGCAAAGAGTCCGCTGTAGTTCGGAGAAATGCCGTATCGAGTGGCTGTTATAGGAACTCTCAAGTCCGAAATTCTCAAAGGTTCTTCCAGTTCCTTCAAAACGAAATTTATCATCCGGGCCCACCAGTCCGTATCACTAGAGTGAACCCAAGTAGGAGCCCTGAAATCCCGAGCAGAGAACTCTCCTTTGGCAGAGATAAATATTCTAATGAACACCTCCGCCAATTTAGCAGGCTCTCCGACAGGATGCTCTTTTTGGAATAAACCTGGCTTCAAAGCCATAAAATTATTGAAGCCAGCGGGATGAGTACCCCGATGAGTGATGTGCCCCGTAGCAACACCGCCTTGGTCCTGAACAAGTTCCCAATTCATCGACCGCGGGATAGAAGCGCACTGATAATAAGAGATCGGCCACATCCGTTCCAAATTGGGGAGGAAAAGACGACGGTTGTTGACAACTTTCAGCCATTTGTAGTTCCCTTCAGACACTCGCTTGGGGTCCATCTTAACAGAATCCCCGAAGAGGAAAGACGACTTCTTTAAAATCTCACGCTCTGCGTTTTCAAATTTGGCATTCGTAACCAAAGACCTGAGAGTCTCAGGAAAAGCCTGAGTGATGAGTTTTGCCCGTTCCTTGTGGGTATCCTGGAATATTGGATACTCAAAGACAAAACTGAAGATTGTATTTTTCACCGCGCCTCCCGCATGACCGAAGTAATGGTTGAAGGAAAGAGGCTCTTTGGAGTAGCATACTGCAAATAGAAAAGCTAGTCAAAAGAAGTCCAAGTTTAGACTTGCGTCCAGATCATTAAATGCAGGGTCTCAACCCGCATTTGAAATTTCGAACGCAAGGTATAGACCTGCATTCAGATTATCAAACGCAGGGCCTCAACCCACATCTAAAATCTTGAACGTAAGATTTAGACCTGCGTTCGGAGTCTTGAACGCGGGGTCTCAACCTACCTCCAAGATTTTAAACGTAGGGTCTAAACCTGCGTTGAAATTTTATGAACGATGGAACTAGCCATACGTTTTCTTGGAATTGATTACCAACCCAGAATTATCTCTTGAGCTTAAATACAGATCGTCAATCAGGGATCAGGGAGAGGAGATCTATTAAACCCACTCCCAATGGTTCAATCTCACCATTAGTTGAAGAAACCAACGACGAAGGCGGGAGAACCTGATCATCCCCGGAGATCTTAGCCGAAGGAACACCCTGAGCTTCGGCGAACTTCGGCTTAGAAGTAGTTTTCTTCTTGAGTCCCATGGCAACCGTGGCGAAGAAGATGAAGATGGGTGAAGTATTTAAGAACGGATCCTTTCCTCCGTTGAAGCGCTGGAGAAGATGAACAGGAGCTCTGTTTAGAAATCGAGAAAAGGGGAAAAAGTCGAATGACTTTCTGATTTGACCTCAATGGCCCATTTATAAACAGCTATAGCTGTCAAATCAAAGCGAGATTTTAGGCAAAATCTCACCTGAAACGTGATTTTCGCGTTTTCAAAAAAGAAGGGCTTCAGTTACCGAACACACCCTCACATCCAAACCGTAGAATGCATGATATAAACATGCATTCTGGCGATCGAACTCAGCTTATCACATAAATAATCCTTTCAAAAGGGTTAACATTCCAAGCAATGGCGATATGATTAAGAGAGAAGATAAAGTGAATCCCTGTGAGGTCATCTTCCTGACTAAGCTGGGGATAAAGTCCCTCTTACACAAGCCTGTGGTTTTCTCCATCCATGATAAGGCCTAATTCATGTCAGAGAATGAGGAGGTCAACGAAGGTGCTCCACTTAACCTGTGATGGGGCGCATTCGATCAACAAAATCTTTGGGTTCCAAAGTGTTTCGAAAATTCGTCCCAGTCAACCGCGAACTTTCGAAAACTTTGGAGGGGGTTCTGTAGGCTGTCTAAAAATAACAATAGATAATTGATTCCCCATCAAACACCCATCATGGAAATTATAATCTGACGACTTCCAGAAGGCTACGACTTGAAGACTTTCATATATCAAGGAGTTGAAGCAAGGATTACGAAACGACGATCTTTAGCAACGCTCTGACAGAAAGAGATTACAAATCGACGATCTCTTCAAACCAAGACGTAGAAGCCCTCACTGAATACCATCGTCAAGATATAACACCAATTCGAACACCAATGCCGCTTCTTATGTGGGAGGATTGATCTTGATGGCTGCGACAATAACATGACTAATATCATATTAGCAACCATTAGAGATGCTGATGAGCAGTGTAATGATTTTAGAAAAGCAGGAAGATCTAGAGAGCTGTGAACAAATATTCGACACACTGAGGAGCACATGGTTAAAACATGAAATTTTAGTGGAGATCGTGACTTGCAGTTGATAGAGCGTTATTGAGATACCTCAATTGTCACAAATGACCTGAATAAGACCTTCTTTATTGATCATTGGTGTCATCCATATAGAAAGATAGAGAAACCTGAACGTAACTCATCAACCGCTGCTCGAACGCAGCTCATCAGCGCCGTCGAACGCAGCTCCAACCACTGCCAAGCATAGCTCAAACGCAGCTCCAACCGCTGCCAAGCACAGCTCAAACGCAGCTCCAACCGTTGCTAAGCACAGCTCGAACGCAGCTCAACATCGCTGCAGAACGCACCTCCAGATGCTGCGTTCAAACACAGAATCTATGCCAGAACGCACGTCAAAGCTCTGACCTGTTCAAACACGATCTAAGCAGTTTCGAAAACTGCTCTTCACCCACAATTTGAGGAGTTGCTTACGTGGGTTGTTACAACCGATTAATGAGGTAACTAAACCCTCATTTAGGAGCGGATTATGGGGGCGGTTACACCCCTAATCCCCCTATAAATATCAGCAAACTCAACAAAGTTAGGGATCAGATTTTTGATAATCAGATCGAGGGGTCGGAAGATAGCATCGGATTTTGATCGCTGGGAAAGGATCTTCTGATCAGATCTTCCAGAATCAGAAAAAAAAGATCGTCAAGAGTTATCAACAAGACAAGACTGTTGTTCCAGTGAATTAAGACATTCGGATCGTCAACGGAGAGCAAACTCGACGCGAGCATTCGAGGGAGGCACTCCATCGCTACCGTGAAGAACCCAGAATTAAACAAAGGGGAGAATCCAGATCATTCTCTTCTCTTTTTTAACCAGGAATTCAAATTGTAATCGAGAGTTGAGAGAATTGTAATCATTCTTTTTCTAAGCAGTTAGAGAGAATAAAATCAAATACAGTTCTTTCCTTGTTTTCTTATTACAAATTTTCCAACAAACATGTAGCCTATTCAAACAAACATCAAATAAGTAAATAATCAAAGTGTAATTGAGAAACAAATTTTAGTAAGAAAATAAATAAAAAATACTTAATCAAAGTGAGCAAAAATTATCAAAGAGTAACCGAGAAACAAATTTTAGTAAGAAAATAAACTAAAAATACCTAATCACAGTATTTAACCACGTGCATTACACGTGCATAAAATCTAGTATTTATATATATATAAGAAATATATATTTATGAAAAAAATATGTATGCTTGGTACCAAGCACAAATTTTGTGCTTGTTAGTGAGGTGTCTCATTCTCATCCACTCCCCAACCCATATGAATGTGGTCCCTTATTTGAATGAGTGGATGAGAATGAGACACCTCACTACCAAACACAAAAACTTGTGCTTGGTACTAAACATACGCATATTTCTCTATATAGTAAATATGGGTATGCTTGGTACCAAGCACAAATTTTATGCTTGGTAGTGAGGTGGTACAATCCCCTCCACTCATTCAAATGAGGAACCACATTCACATGGGTTGAGTAGTACATGAGGATATACAACCATTTGAATGAGTTGAGGGGATTATGTCACCTCACTAACAAACATAATTTTTTGTGCTTGATACCAAACATACCTATTTTTCTCATATATATATATATATAAAGTCCATCATTGCAATCTTTTTCTCGAGAAACTGCATAAGCTCATTTAACATGTTAAAACTCTATTCACTATGTACAATCCTATTGATTACGTTCTTCCCAGTGAAAACTTCCAACTTTACATCACTTAATCAAAGAAAAGTTGATTACATACTTCCCAGTGAAAACTTCCAACTTTACATGCATCACTTAATCAAAGAAAAGTTTCGGAGGAAATCAACAAGAAGGATGAGAAAGCAAAGTAAATTCTAGACTTCAACTGCTACTATTAGACGTCGTGGACCTGCTAGGCCACTTCTCTATAACGGTATCCACTGAAATTAATGATGACACATTCTTTTTGTCAGCGTTATACCCTCCACCTTCAATTTTTTTCAAAATCTCGAAGACTTCTCGAATGCTAGGTCTCATATCCCTCTCTGACTGCAGACACTGAAACGCTAGCTCCGCCACTTGATCAATCATTCTGTTGATCTCTAAATCTGACTGATACCCGAGCTCAAAGTCCACCAATTGATCAATCTGGCGATTCTGTATCTTAGTAATTGCCATGTTCGCTAAATTTTTCTCGTGACGATTCCTACTGATGTCTACTGCAGGCTTTGACGATATGAGCTCAATCAACACTACTCCGAAGCTGTAAACATCGCTCCTGTCTGTCAGCTGATAGCATTGGTGGTACTCAGGGTCGACGTACCCCGGTGTACCTTGTGGTGCAGTGGACGCATGGGTCACGTCCAAGGGGAACAGCCTTGAAAGACCAAAATCTGCGACTTTTACGTGGAAGTTTTTGTCAAGAAGAATGTTGCTGGTTTTGACATCACGGTGGATGATCTGTGGCTCAACTGAGTGGAGGTAGGCTAGGGCGTCAGCTGTTTGGATGGCGATGGATATACGAATGGGCCAAGAAATTGCTTCTTTGGACGCGAGAGGGCCGTGGAGGTGGTCTGCCAACGTGCCATTGGAGATGAACTCGTACACAAGGAGGAGTTCACGGCTGTGTCGGGATGTGCAGCCATAGAGCGCTACGATGTTCGGGTGGCGGAGGCAGGAGAGGATCTCGATTTCATTCATGAATTGCTCAAGTCTTCGGTAGTTCTTCTCGAATAGGCGTTTGACGGCAACCGTACGACCATCTTTGAGCTCGCCTAGGAGGGACATCATCAAGTTTGAACAGTTTGAAATAAGAAAATAAAGCATCTGAAATTTGACAAAGGGTTTTTTTCCCCGGCAAAATCCACTTTTAAAATAGGATGACAACACGAAAACCACCTTTTAATGCTTAATTAATACAAAAATTACTTTTAAAGGAGAAAATTCTTAGGTGCTCCGTGAGCACCACACAATGTCAATAGGAGAAGAGCATGCGGAACAAACCACTTCCAAATAAAAGAATGATGGAATTAAAAAAAATTCTCTAAAAGGGATTTCTCTAGCAATCAGCCCCCTGGACTTTTTTTAATGGTGAAAATTCAATTGAAAAGCCCAAAACGCTCTCAATGCGCACGTGTCGGTCACGTAGCGGCTTCTTAACCAAACCTAAACCAAATTCAGTGTATGTAGGGCTGTCCATCCGGGCCGGGCCGGACAAAACCAAAGCCTGGACCCAGGCCCGGTTGGCCCGGGCCTGAGCGGGCCGGGCCGGTTTTTTTTGTTAGCAATTTTATTTAGGTATTAATATAAAAAAATTATACATGTGTTGATAACAAGCAGGCAACAAGCTACGTCGCTAATCATTTCTGAATTACAAAACCTAACCTACGAAACATGTACTCAGCCGATCCTACTGTCGCCACATTCTTATTCATGAATTTCTGTACCTTCCTGAGGAACTCCACCGCATCAACTACAAGGAAACCAAACGTATCGAAAGCGAACGGGATGAAGCTGTGGTGGTTGTCCTTGCAAGCTTGATCATGTTTGACCACCTTTGTCTCTGCCGCTCTATCCGCTGCATGCCCAACCTTGAACTTTCCATTACCAAACCCCACCAACGGAGACACCCCTGTGAGATCAACACAAGCGTGCTTTCCCCCGCTCCAACTGTAGACAAGAACGTCTGTCGTCCTTAGAGTAGATCTAGCCTCTCCAGGAGGAGCGAGGAAGTTGATCGACGCTTCCTTATTTGATGAGATTCCTGCTCTTTGGAGGATATCATACAAGACATCTCTGACTAAGTCCTTTCTGTACTGAAACCCCGGCTGCTTCTGACAGTGAATGACATGCTCTCCAAAAGCATCCATCTGCGATCTACGACAAACTGGGCACATTGTCCCCTCCACAAACAAAGGAACCAACAACCTGTATCTGAGGATGGCCTGGTACTCCCCTGGAGTCATACGCTGCCCCAATCCCTCAATAGGCGTGGCCAACAAAAAATCCTGGGCGTGCTTTGCCCGCGGGCACTCAACAATCGCAACCTGCCTTTCTGAAAGGTCGAACTTCGTCGATAGATCTCTACAAAAGCCACCATAAAAGATGTCTGCCAAGTAATGCATTGGTTTTGGGGGGACAGACCCTTTAGTGGTGATTTGAAGAAGGTCAACCTCAGGTATCTTGGCTTGAAGAAAGGCCCTGGCGGAAGTAAAATACCCACCTAAAGAAATCTCACCACAACCTCTCAAAATGTGGTCTTGGAGCTCGATGGAGTGAATCCGAGAGGCCACAAAAGAAAATTGTATGGCATCGGTCGCTGCATAGACCTCCAACCCACCCACCTTGATAGGTAAAGAGGCCAGCCTCGATTGGAGATCCCCAAAGCCTGTACCCTCGGATGTGACAATGCTCTCGACTGACCTCCGAAGCGCAATATCAAACTGTCTTGCCGCCTGAGCAAAGAGCTGTGGCGGGCAAGTCCTCAAGGCAAAATACAACTTGGACAGACCGGCACAAGCCCTCAAAAGGACGAGATCGTACTTTGTATCCCTAAGTTGATCCAACGCTTCCATTAACTGCGTCGCTTTTTCCACCCTCTTTGCTGCTAACCCACCAACAAACCCCTCATCCACGCTAACTGCTACACCTAAAAGCCTTACTCCATCACGAGGCCGACTGATATCCAAGGGGAAAAACCCCTCCAGCAAACTCCTAGGATCCAGTGAGGGCCAGAATAATTCAGTTTTGGTGACATTGAGGTCCAACCCGAGCCTTGAGCCTTCAGTCTCGATCACCTTATATGCCTTAGCAATCTCCAAAGTATCCCCGATCAAGGACCCATCGTCCAAGTACCAAGCATGAAGAGGCAACTTGCACTATTCCTGCACTCGTAGAATCAACGGGTGTAGCGTGAGCGCGAACAACAGAGGTCCTAACGGATCCCCTTGCTGGATTCCCCGAGCGGACCAAATAAAATTAATCACCCCCAAATACAGTCTAGCGGGCTGCAAATATAGAAATTCCACCCAAGAAGAGATCACCGAACACTTAAGGCGCACTTCTCGCAACATACTACTCCTGTCGACCAAGTTAAATGCATTGCGAAAGTCAACCAAAAGTATGGAGAGCGAGTCATCCGCATGGTGGACATCAACGAACCTATTAACCACATGCAAAATTGCTTCTGCCCCTCCTGAGACTTCCACCCCAAACTAAAAATCTCCCAAATAACTCGTCATGTCCTTCCCCACCTTCTTCATGACCACTTTAGAGACAAGACGCCTCCAAATGGTACCTAACGTAATCGACCTTATGCCCCCATCACTTTTCAGCAACGGAGTAAGGGGAGCACTAGCAATAAATTCCGCCAAGGAGGCCGGACAACGCCCTTGCAACCACAAATTAACTACTAGAGTGAGATTCGCGAGAAGGTGAGTCATCCGCATGGTGGACATCAATCGAACCTATTAACCGCATGCAAAATTACTTCTGCCCCTCCCGAGACTCCCGCCCCAAACTAAAAATCTCCCAAATAACTCGTCATGTCCTTCCCTACCTTTTTTTAAAAAAATTTAAAATTTTTAAAAATCCTCATAAATCATAAAATATACATAAAAATTATAGAAAATAATATAAATTTTTTTAATAACTTGAAATGGCATAAATTACAAGTACAAAAAATTATAAAAATAAAAGATGATAAAAATAATTTTTTATTAATAATCAGTAAATCATTTACAAGTATAAATTTATTTCGGAATTCGTCGTATCACAATAGATGAGTACATCCTAACTATGTTGGCACCTACTCACCTATATCACTATCATTTGTAACTTTTTTCGAAATAATTCATTACAAATTTAAAGCTAAGAAATAAAAATTATAATTTGATGAATATTATCTAATCTTTATACCTATCTGCTAGTCCCAACTCTTTAAATTTATCTTCAATTCCAGCCATCCGATCGATGACTTGCGTTTGCTTCTCGTACCTCCACTAATCTTGTAAGCACATCACTGCTTGTACAGTATACGGATCTAAGCATGTCATGTGGTCGTCGATCAAACGTCCTACTGTGGTGAAGGCGGATTCCGAAGCTACCGTCGAAACCTGCACTGTTAGTAAGTCACGAACCATGGTGGAAAGTATAGGATATGAAACTGATTCATATACTCTCCACCATTGTAAAATATCTAAAACATTTCCTTGACATTTAACTAAGGAAGCAGATAAATATTCATCTATTTCAGAAATCTCTAATGCTGATCCAAGTCTAGATCCACCAGTTAGTTCAGCTACCATTGCATACTTATCAAAACTTATACTTTTACCTCGGCTTGTGCTCGAAGGCGCCGAAGCTGTAGACTGTTGTGTAGCTACACCATGTCTAGCTGCATACTCATCATATAATGTTTGAAAATAATTTCTAATAGCTAAATGATGAGAAGTAGCAGTAAGGGTGGATCCATCATCTAAGTCTATAATCTGTCCACCATATAATGATTGTAACAAATTTCAAAGGCCAATATCCTTCAAACATGGATCAATAAGAACCCCCAAACCAAAAATATGAGGAATAGGCCTAAAATACTTATTAAATTTGCTCTCTATTTAAAAAATTACAGCTCTAAAAGTATCATCCATACGATATTTAGAAATTTTTTTTTGAATATTTAAAATTTGTAAAACAGCTAAAGTAATTGTTGGATAATAACAGTCAGATAATAACATTATAGCATCACAAAAGACTTGTAACTTCTCATTTAAATTACATATAATTATTCATTCATCTTTAGTTATTCCATAAGTACTACCAGAGCTAGAACTAGGAGCATAAAAATTTATAAAATCATTTATAATTTCTTTATATTTTATTGCTACACTTAACATTGTATAGGTGGAATTCCACCTATGGTCAACATCTTTTGGAATTAGCCTGAGCTTATAATTTTTTCTTTTACAACATTGTTTCCATCTTTTAATTCTTATTTCAGAAGTATTATGCATATTAGCAAATGTTCTAACCTTTTCTATCATGTGTTTAATTTCAAAAAATACACTTTGAATAATTAAATTTAAAATATGACAGATACATCTAACATGAAAAAGTTCACCATGACATAGCAATGTCAGAGTTGTTTTGATAAAATCAACAGCTATATTGTTATTACTTACATTATCTAGTGAAAGAGAAAATACTCTTTGATCAATTTCTACTTTCATAAGTTCTTTAATTATTAAATTTATAATATTAATACCAGTATGTGACTCTTTAATTGTAATAAAAGAATAAATCTTTTAAACATTTACCAATTTTTATCAATCCAGTGTGCTGTGATACATAAATAACCAGTTTGCACTCTAGATGTCCAAATATCAGAAGTTAAAGAAAATTTACTGTTTAAATTTTTAAAATAAGAAATTATTTTTTCTTTTTTCCTCCTGATAATATTTTAAAATATCACGTTGACAGGTTTGACGAGAAAATTTTGTAAATGCGGGATAAAAATCATCTCTAAACAAATCTTCAAATTCATCATCTTCTACTAATTTAAAAGGAATATTTTTAAGAACTATAAACCTGATTACGCATTTCCTGGCTCGGACAGCGTCATAATTCCAACTACCGAGACTACCAGAAGAGAAGGATTGGGAAATCATAGATTGTTGGATATCACCTTGAGGATTCTAGTCTTTGTTGTGTTTTTCTATATGGCGTTTGAGGTGGTTGGTGCCGCTCTTATGATGAGCTTGGAAAGTCTGGCCGCACAACGCACATTTAGCCTTTTGGGTGATGATCCTACCGTGTTCATCCTTGGTGACGTCTATCTTCTTAAAAAAATTTCACACATCGGATCTCGGCCTTTTAGGAGCTCTTGGTGCAGATTCGTCGCCACCAGATTTAGGATTAACACCGGTAGGAGGAGTAGTTGTTATAGGAGGACTTATATCTTGATCGGTAGGAGATAGGTGTTACTCTTCATAATCAGATCTAAAAGCTATTTGATAGAAGTATTAGAAAATATAAGAGATTTTAAGAGAGTATAAAAGTGTATAAGATTGTATAAGAGAGTATTAGAGAGAAGTAAATGAGTTTTGGTGTGAGGAGAAGAAGTGAAAACCTCCCTCTATTTATAGAGGCAGCCTCCTAGGCAAATGACTAAAAAACCCTCATATTCTAGCCGTTTTTTGACTGTTTTTAGGGGCAAAACGGTCAAAACCCATTTTTGGCCGTTATGACCAGGCCGACCCGGCTGAAACGGTCAGTTTTTGAACGGACCGGGCCGGGCTGCCCGGCCCGGCCAAAACGGTCATTTTTTGACATGGACCGGGCCGGGCTGCGCCAGCACCCGTCAATTCTGCCAAACGGTTACCAGAGGTGACCGTTTGGTGCGGCCCGACCCAGCCCGGCCCGTCATTTTCCAGCAACGCGTCATCTCTGTGCACCGTTGCGGCCGGCCTGGGCCGCCCAGCCCGGTTTTGGTGCCCGGGGCCGACACTGTTCCGAGCCGGGCCCGGGTCCGGACTAGGCGTGTTTTCCCGGGCCCGGACCCGGGCCGCGAGCTTTTTGGACAGCCCTAAGTGTATGGCACTTGTGATTTCAAGGGCACTATGCTTATTTCAATCGGTATTTCACGGGAAAGTAGGTAAAGGTGGTTAGTCGCTCCGGATTTTGTATTAAAATTGAACTTTTAAATCCCAAATTTCATATTGATAAATCACTCTTTTTAAAAGATGGTTTCTGTGGAAAACCCGTTAAATGCCCAAGTTTCATATTGGTGAAGGAAAGAGTTTATCAAAAAAAAAAAAAACCTTGTTATTTGCAATCCCTTCACCCCTCTGATATAAGTAGCTTCCTTCTGTACGACTTGAAGATGGGGGAAAAAGAAAAAAGAAAACAACTCAAGGACTCGAATTTAAAAAAATGGGTAAACTGCGAAAAAAAATATCATGTTGTGGTTTGTAGGAATGAATAGAAAATCCTTGGAAGAATTTGACACTACTCTTTCCATTCCTCATTTTTAATTTCTAGTCAAATCCTTGACAATTTTTGATAAACCACCAATTTTCCAATAACTAATGATGTACATGTTTATATGGGAGTAAATATAAGGGTAAGTTACGCTAAACTTCCAAGAACTTTCATCTTTCTGCAGTGAAATCCCAAAAAACATTCGAAATCACAATAAACCCCCCAATAACTTTTAGAATTGCGGAAATTGCAGGAACTCACTTCTGAAAACTTAAATTACCTTTATATACAGTACCGAAACCACCATCACCAAGCTCTCTTGATTCATTGAAGCTGTCTGTGGCTTCCTTCAGCTCTTCATAAGAGAAGATATGTGTATGGTATGTGGCATCAAATAATTCAGTGTCGTTGTTCTTCAAGTATATGTCTGAAGATATGCTCTGAGAAAGGAGGCTAGATTGCTGTCGTCTTTTCCTACGATTCATGTACAAGAAAAGACCGACGCTACATCCAAGGATTAAGGCTCCTCCTGCAACGGCGACTGCAGCCATAAACAACATATGCAAAAATACATCATTAGATGAAAGAGTACATGAATCTACTTTTTTAGTTGCATCACTAAATAATTTTTTTTATGAAGAGACATTCATGTTGATGTGGCAGACCAATGGTAGGCTATGCAGTATAGTCACACTCATAATCACAACGGGAGAATTGGGGGTGAAGCCCAAACCTGCAGGCGAAGGTCTGGCGAGGAGCTCCCTCAGACGAGCTTGCGATCCAGTCGACGTGGCGCAGGCGAGGTCGAGTTGGCGAACTCCAGCGACTTGCAGGCGAGTTCGAGGATCTTCCGCAGGCGAGGTTGTGGCGTAGGCAAGCTCCTCACAGCTGTCGACAGCTCAGCTATGGTTTCCCTATAAAAGGAAAAACCCAGGGCACGAGATTGTGCACTTCTTCTCCGCGAGATTTTGGCGGTGAACTAAAAAACGCAGCGGTGTTTCTTCTTCTTCTCCTCTCACGATTTTTCAGCTCTCAGATTGTTGAGAGGAATTTATTGTGGGAATATTCTCTATTTAAGAGATACTTAAATATGGGTATTTGAGAGACAGAGAGATATTAATACTATAGCTATAGTATTAATTTGTATTTATTTGAGAGATCTCAAGTTTGAGATCTGCTCTTGATTTGTAATTTTTTGTTGGTTAATAAGAAATTTACTGTGTGGCTCCCGAGGACGTAGGCAGTTGCCGAACCTCGTTAAATCTTGGTGTATTTTCTCTATACTGCGTTTCTGCTGTCTTAGGGGTTTAGGCGTAAATTCCCAACAACTGATATCAGAGCGTGAAACGATCTAGAGGAAGTCAAATTCAAGTGGGAGCCATGGTCGCAGATGAAGGAAAAATAAAACTTGAGAAGTTTGATGGAACAAATTTTAGATTCTGGAAAATACAGATAGAGGATTATCTATATTAGAAAAATCTGTATCAACCACTATCGGGGAAGAAGCCAGAGTCGATGAAGGAAGATGAGTGGATCCTTCTAGACAGACAAACCCTCGGAGTTATCAGATTGACGTTAACTCGTAATGTTGCGTTCAATATTGCGAATGAGAAGACCACGACGGATCTTATGGCAGCACTCTCAAATATGTATGAGAAGCCATCAGCCGCGAACAAAGTTCATTTAATGCGGGGGTTATTCAATCTGAGAATGACGGAAGGCGCGTCAGTAGTACAACATCTTAATGAACTCAACATGATCACAACCCAATTGAGTTCAGTTGAAATTGAGTTTGATGAGAAAGTTCGGACGTTGATACTTTTGTCCTCCCTACCAGAGAGTTGGAACGCTACAGTCACAGCTGTGAGTAGCTCGTCGGGAAGTAACAAGTTGAAGTTCGATGACGTTTGTGATCTGGTTCTCAGTGAGGAGATCCGACGAAGATAGTCGGGTGAAGCTACAACCTCTTCAGTATTACATACAGAGTCAAGAGGTAGAAATTCAACCAGAGGGAACGGACGAGACAAATCAAACTACAGAGGTAGATCAAAGGACATGAGGTCCAAGTCAAGGAATCCAAGCAACAACTCGAATGTTATCGAGTGTTAAAATTATGAAAAGACCGGGCATTACAAGAATCAGTGCAAGAGTGCACAGAAGGAGAAGGAGGCGAAGACAGTGGTGAATGTCACTTCCACCTCAGGAGGAGACGACACATTGATATGCTCTTTGGAGAGCAAGGAGGAATCTTGGGTATTCAGAAACATCGTTCCATGCTACTTCTCAGAAAGAATTCTTCGAGAAGTATATTCTCGAAAATCTTGGATACATATACCTTGGTGATGATCAACCATGTGCTATTATGGGCAAAGGTGTAGTAAAAATTAAGTTGAACGGGTCAGTATGAGAGCTGAAGGATGTCAGGCATATTCCTGACCTGAGAAAGAACTTAATATCCGTAGGCCAGTTGGCTGGCGAAGGATACACTACGACCTTCCATGGAGATGATTGGAAGATCTCAAAGGGTGCAATGATGATTGCCCGAGGCAAGAAGACTGGTACCCTGTATATGACAGCGGGTGCACGTTGTTTGATCTCAATTGCAGCAGGCAATGAGACTTCAAAGCTGTGGCACCAGAGACTCAGTCATATGAGTGAAAAGGGGATGAAAATCATGCACACAAAGGGAAAACTCTCAGGTCTAGAATCAGTTGATTTAGATATGTGTGAAGAATGCATACTTGGAAAGCAGAAGAGAGTCAGCTTTCAGACAAGTGGCAGAACCCCTAAGAAAGAGAAGCTAGAGCTCGTTCACTCAGATATTTTGGGACCAACCACCACCACGTCCATTGATGAGAAACACTACTTCTTGACTTTTATTGATGATCACTCTCAGAAAGTGTGGGTCTACTTTCTGAAACACAAGTCAGAAGTATTTAAAGCTTTCAGGAGATGGAAAGCTATGGTCGAGAATGAGACCGGTCTGATAATAAAGAAGCTTAGGACCGACAATGGCGGTGAGTATGAAGACACCAGATTCAAGAAGTTCTGCTATGAGTACGGGATTAGAATGGAGAGAACCGTGCCCGGCACGCCTCAGCAAAATGGTGTAGCTGAACGGATGAACCGAACGTTGACAGAGAGAGACAGAAGCATTCAGATGTAGTCAGGCCTACCGAAGCAGTTCTGGGCAGAAGCAGTCAACACAACAGCTTACTTGATCAACCGAGATCCATCGATTCCATTGGAGCACAGAATACCAAAGGAGGTATGGTGCGAAAATGAGGTAAAACTCTCACATCTCAAAGTTTTTGGTTGTGTAGCTTACGTACATATTAGTGATCAAGGCATGAATAAGCTTGATCCTAAGTCAAAGAAATGCACTTTCATCGGCTATGTGTGAAGATGAGTTCGGTTACCACATTTGGGACAATGAAAACAAGAAAGTGATCCGCAGCAGAGATGTGATATTCAACGAGAAGGTGATGTACAAGGACATGCACAAGACAGATGACTCAGAGAGCAAGTCAACATTTATAGATACAGATGATGTCCCGAGTAACCTCTCTGAAAAACCAAATGCAGAAGGCCCTCAGCCAGAATAGTCTATTGGACAAAACAGTGCGCAAGAGCCCGACACACCAGCTCTAATATTAAGAAGATCCTCTTAGCCTCCTGTACCCAACAGGAGATATATGAACTATCTGTTGCTGACAGATGGTGGGGAGCCTGAAAGCTATGATGAAGCTTGTCAGGGTGAAGATGCGAGCAAGTGGGAGCTTATCATGAAAGATGAGATGAAGTCTCTCATCTCAAACCAGACGTGGGAACTAGCTGAGTTATCCACGGGTAAGAAGGCACTCCACAACAAATGGGTGTATCGGGTGAAAGAGGAGCAGGATGGTTCCAGAAGATATAAGGCCCGGCTAGTGGTCAAATGATTCCAGTAGAAAGAATGAATTGACTACACCAATATTTTTGCTCCCGTGGTGAAGCTAAATACTATCAGGACAGTGATGAGTATTGTAGCTATTGGAGATCTTCATCTCGAGCAGTTGGACGTGAAAACGGTGTTTCTTCATAGAGATCTAGAAGAGAAGATATACATGCACCAGCCAGAAGGTTTCTCAGAAGAAAAGAAGAAGAACCTGGTTTGCAGACTTAAGAAGAGCTTGTATGGCCTGAAACAAGCCCCACGATAGTAGTACAGGAAGTTTGACGGCTTTATGCACAAGGAATGTTTCCAGAAGTGCAACGCCGACCACTGTTGCTACTTCAAAAGCTATCAGTCCAGTTATATCATCCTACTACTGTACGTTGATGATATGTTGGTTGCATGTACAGATATAGAGGATATCAGGAGTTTGAACCAGCAGCTGTCAAAGGAGTTTGACATGAAGGACTTGGGTCCAACGAAGAAGATCCTTGGAATATAAATCACGAGAGATAAGAAGAGAGGTTTCTTGCAGTTATCTCAGACAGAGTACATCAACTGTGTTTTGCAAATATTCAACATGGGTGAAGCCAAGCCAGTGAGCACACCCTTGGCCAGCCATTTTCGCCTATCGAAGGATCAGTCTCCTCAGTCAGAAGAAGAGAAAGAGAGTATGGCTAAGGTTCCTAACGCCTCAGCTATCGAAAGTTTGATGTACGCAATGGTTTGTACGAGACCAGACATTAGCCATGCAGTGGGAGTGGTCAGTCGGTTTATGTCAAATCCAGGAAAAGCTCATTGGGAAGCGATCAAGTGGATTCTGAGATACCTACGAGGCACTACATAGAAGTGTTTACACTTTGGTAAGGGAGAGGTAGAAGTGCAAGGGTACGTAGATGCAGATTTCGACGGTGAAGTCGATCACCGAAGAAGCACCACCGGCTACGTATTCACTGTCGGAACTACAACTATTAGTTGGATGTCACAGATATAGAAGATTATCACTCTGTCCACTACAGAAGTTGAGTATGTTGCAGTGACTGAAGCCAGTAAAGAGATGATATGGCTTCAGGGTTTGTTAATAGAGCTGGGATTTAAACAGGAAAAGAATGTTTTGCATAGCGATAGTTAGGGTGCGATTCACTTGGCTAAGAATTCCGTATTTCATTCTAGAACGAGCATATTACGCTTCGGTACCACTTCATCAGATCCCTGTTGGGAGATGACGTGTTAAAACTAGAGAAGATTCTAGGAAGTAAGAATCCAGCAGATATGTTAACAAAGACAGTGACCGTTCAGAAACTGGAGTTGTGTACAACTTCAGTTGGCCTTCATGCATAGATGATGAGGGCGGAGCCACACAGGAGATGATGCTTATTAAGATAGCTTGCTGACGGCGGTTTGGTCTCCAAGTGGGAGATTGTTAGAATTAGGGGTGAAGCCCAAACCTGCAGGCGAAGGTCTGGCGAGGAGCTCCCTCAGGTGAGCTTGTGATTTAGTCGACGTGACGCAGGTGAGCTCGAGCAGGCGAGGTCGAGTTGACGAACTCCAGTGACTTGCAGGCGAGTTCAATGATCTTCCACAGGCGAGGTTGTGGCGTAGGCGAGCTCCTCACAGCTGTCGACAGCTCAGCTAGGGTTTCCCTATAAAAGGGAAACCCCAGGGCACGAGATTGTGCACTTCTTCTCCACGAGATTTTGGCGGCAGACTCAAAAACGCAGCGGTGTTTCTTCTTCTTCTCCTCTCGTGATTTTTTAGCTCTCAGATAGTTGAGAGGAATTTATTGTGGGAATATTCTCTATTTAAGAGATACTTAAATAGGGGTATTTGAGAGACAAAGAGATATTAATACTATAGCTATAGTATTAATTTGTATTTATTTGAGAGATCTCAAGTTTGAGATCTGCTCTTGATTTGTAATTTCTTGTTGGTTAATAAGAAATTTACTGTGTGGCTCCCGAGGACGTATGCAGTTGCCGAACCTCGTTAAATCTTGGTGTATTTTCTCTATACCACGTTTCTGCTGTCTTAGGGGTATAGGCGTAAATTCCCAACATCACTAAATAAATTTTTTTATGAAGAGACATTCATGTTGATGTGGCAGACCAATGGTAGGCTATGCAGTATAGTCACACTCGTAATCACAACGGGAAGAATATAATACAGTCCTAAGTAACGTAACGCACATAAAAGTTTATATGAAGAGATTTTTGTGAGAACCATAAACCTCTACAATCACCACTAGAAAATATATATCAATACTCAGTTTTTCATGATGCAGTCTTAAGCAACCAGCTTAATATCAGGATGTCATATTAATTTTCTTCTCAATAAAAGGAAAAAGAAACTACCTACGACTATAAAATAGCTTATTTAAATCTGAAAAACTGATTATCAAAAGAGTATCTCCTCAAAGACTAAAGAAGAAGAAGGTCAAGAGTATCATGTTCATTACCTATTCCAGCAGTTTTCTTCCACGAGCCGCTTCCCTTATCTGCAGCATAAAGGAACATGAAACGTTGAAGTGAGAAAATAATTTACAGATTAGACATGGAATCTACCTTAATACAAGTGGTTCCTTGGAGACATATGAGATGCCGATCGTATTTTTGAATGGTAAAATCAATCAGAATCAGACAGAACTGTTATATGCATTCCAAGGGCTTGTCAATGCCCTTGATGGACGACATGCAACACTAAAAACATTCAAGGATAGGAGTCAGACTGCTCTCTTTTAATTCCGTAACGTGTTATAATCGAAGTACTGAATATTCGAGGTACAGGCTAGGCAAACTCTTGTTTTATTTCACACGTAATATTTTTCTCCAAATAGAGATTAGAAACAAGAAAGACAACTAATATCACTCTTTGAATTCTAGCTTAAGGTAATTATTTCTCTCCCAAGCTCATTTTATTGAATTCCTCAATTCTGGTGAATCTGTGTGTTTCTTGATAGTGAAATTATGATAAACAAAGAAATTCAATTAAATGTAAGTAAACTTATGAGATACCATTAAAAAACCAGAACACGAGCATCTGACTTACTTATGACAGACAACGATAGCTAAACCACACTACGGAACCAAATAGATTAAGTGCCCACATCACAGCTAAGCACTAATCAGAAAGCTTATAGTCAACTCTATACACAAGCCTTGTAAGTGTAATCCTAAATACTCACCTAATTGGTTGAAACCTAAAAAGAACTAGTAAACTGATCTAATTAACCAAGTCAGGGAAATTAACATCTAAACTAATAGAGAAGTACACAAAAAGATGCAAGAAGCATTATTTCTGCATCCCAAAAGAATATCTTAACCTTCAAAATATTAAGAAACACTTACGTTTGCAAATATTAATCTCACACGAACAAGAGGGATTTGCAGAACAATTGTTGCCAGTGCAACTCTGACCTGTCGTCTGACAGTAAAAGCATCCTTCGTGCAGTTCAAACGTACGCGAAAAACCAACAGATAGCAAAGAAAGGCTACCGTCATCTCGGCCAAATGAAAGTTTCCACTCAAGCAAAGTGGGCTGAGTGACCAAGCAGTTATTGGAAGGGGGCAGATGATGATCATTTAGTTCCTCCCAATAATATAGTTTATAATCATTGCAATGGTTAGAACCATTGAGCTCCGGGAAAAAAGCGCGAGAAAAAGCATTAGCATCTCTTTGACAATCTACGGAGCTGTTCGATAGGACTAGAGCTGGAGACCGAGGTGGAACCTGGAAATTAGGAATGGGGTCTGTGAAATTATAAAGGAACCCACATTTTCCTTGAAGTAAATAGTTGCCAAGTGCCTGATCCTGAAGTCTGAGAACCTTCTCTGTGTACGAGATACATATCACAGGATACTCATGATCGTTAAATTTGATCAATGGTCCAGAATCATCATCACATCTGATACTATAGTTGTCTGATCCTGTATTATCTGTGGAGGAAGGGAGATCGCTAGTGTTTAAGAAGAAAGGGTATTGAATTTCGACATCTCGGCACATAAAGGGATTTGGACATGAGAAATAAAAATTGGGAAGGAAGAAGAGGAGGCAAAGGAAGAAGTAAGCTAAGGGAAGAGCCATAGATGATGGCACCTCAAAGACTAGCTTTAATTGCAGCACGTTAGAATTGAGCTTCTCTGTTTAGGAGAATAAAATAAGAGTTTCTATTGACTCATGATGAACTCACACTGAAAGGCCAACTGTTGGCTTTGACGAAGTCCAATTTTATTTGAAGAAAAATGTAAATCTATTTAATTTGTTGAAGACCACTTGAATGCATAGATTTTCCCTAGATATTTAAGACAATTGAAAATAAACTCTGAACGAAGGAACTTAATATTATTTCCACTATGGAACCGAGAATCAATAGGTGCAATTGCTTCGTAATTAATAAGCACAAGTCTTCAGTCAAAGTCTCCTCCATTGGACAGTAGCTTCAAGTCAGTCTACAGATAACTTTTGTTGACATATAAGTAATATGTAGGGACTTATTTGTAAGTTGTATTTTGTAGGGGCCTATATAAGCCCAAGAGATTTCATAATAATAATTAGGGTTTCTCATATATTTCAATTTGGTATCAGAGCCTCCACCAAAACCCTAGTCGCCGCCCCCCCCCCCTCCCCCCCTCCCCCGCGGTGCACCGTGTCGAACCTAGAGTTTGGCATGGATTCCCTTGACTCAGTCCTCGAACTGATGACAGGAAGAGTATATATCTCACGGCGATGAGATATATCACTGTTTTTTGATTCTTGTTTCCTCTGAGAAATGAGAATTTGCCTGAGATCTTACTCTTGTTGTGCAGCAGAGGTGCTGCCGAAAATTTCACTGCACACAACAAGGGTCGGAAGAGAAGGTGACCAGGTGTTGGGTCTGAAGCTTGATCAATGGAGGAGATTATCAAGAAGTTGAACCCCACGGAGGTATCAACTTTGATGAAGCTGATGAAGTTGTCGGCTGGTGAGAGCGCGACAAAACCATCCAAGAAGTTGGAGCTTCCTACCATAGATCTGAAGCTTGATGGACCGGGTACTTACCTGAGCTGGTCACGGCGGGGGGGATACACCCCTGTTGTAGGGGAGGAACCTGGAGGTTATCTTGACGGGGAGAGGTGACAGAGCATTGATGCCATCAACAGTGGCGGGCGATCGATCTGGACCAATGGATATTGAATGCCCATCCAGCTGCCATATTTAGCATTGTAGACGCCGCAAACTCTACATGATCGTTCGAGAAAAATGGAGAATCACATGACTGAAACTCAATCATACCATTCATGTTTGAGCATCTATCATTGAACTGGGTCTGGTGTGCTCAGATACTCTCTGACGGAAGATTTTGATGATGGATGTGACGGGCACAAGATTGCATGAAAATTTGAAAGAGGAGTATTTGTGGCAAGATTATCGAAATTTAGCAAGTTATCGAGGCTATTAGTCTTTCAGTACTGTGGTGGCTGTCATTGTAAAGGGATACTGCGGGATTCACAGTTTACCTTAGTCTGTGCTTTACTTGGTTGTGTGCTTTTTTAGTATCCGAAGATGAAGTTTTATAGTCGCGTTAATTGTAAGGCCTAATCATTCGGTAAATGAATAATCCTATATCCCTGAAGAAAGCAGGAAGAGACACAGAGAGAGTGTGCCGGCGCACACCGTGAGGGAGGCGAGCGAAAACAAAGGAATATCATTGACGTAATGTGTTCTGAATCAGATGCCATGTATGCTGTACCTACTTTTCGCAGATGACACAAGTATCTATTTAATGTGTGCTAACGTGTGATGCGTCGTACATGTCCATAATGTCTACGTATATTGTATGCGTCATCTGTAATATGCATTGATTGTGCATGTATGTACATTTCATGTGCGTGAGTTATGATACACAGCAATATGTGAATTTCTGTTTTCCATGGAATGCACAGCGATATATGTTTGACATGTGTTGTAATGCGCGTGAGTGTAACTGAGAGATCATTTGGTGTCTTGTTTATATTTATCTATTTTTTTTCCTTTACTGGTAATGAGATTTTTTGGGAGCTCCACCCTAAGATAGATTACAAGATACTGGATCATCACTACACGGCACTGTGGCAATGTTGCATCAATTCATATCTCTGCGTTACTAGTTTGAGAGAAAGTGAGATTTTTCCATCCATCTTAACCAACAAAACAAGAGGAACTAGTCGATTTACCCCTCAAAGAAAAAACTTAAATTACTTCAAGTACCCAATCATTCAATGTTCAACCTCTGGACAACTCTTATACTGGATAATTTAGCATAAATGTTCTCTAATATTATAATAACACAGAACATCACCCTTCAGACTCCGAAGATAAAACTCATCCGGAGCCTGAGATTTCCCGATCTCGGGGTTATCATTGACCATATTCTGGCGCATCCATATTGCCGTATCATTTTGTGGGCCTCACCCAGCCTCCTGTACTGCAGACTGGAGTAAGCTCCAGTAATTGACAGAAGTGACACCCCACGAGATAAAAAAACCCCCCCCCCCCCCCGCCTCATTGGCAGCTGCTTC